TCAGGACGGGTCTGATCTTCTGGAGGAACCATGAGAAAAGCCACTGAGACACAAAGTGGCAGAAAGAGAAGACCTGCCTCCCAAAATCTGAACTATGAAGCCATTTTTCTCCTCTTTATCATCTTTAAACCTTTGCACTAGATTGAAAATTATTTTAAAAACTCCACACAATGTTTTTTATATCTATTTAAATTCAACATGTTTTTGCCGGCAAGATAAAAACAGCGCAGAAAGCAGAACCCATGTAAGAATCATCACTACTTTAATCGTTTATCATCTGATCAAACCAGGAGCATAAATCTGATCAGAAAGGTGGATTTGATTTGGTATTTATGATCAAGGAATAGAGTTTAGATCATTCCCCAGACAGACCGGAAACACAGAGTCCCGGCGGGTGTCATCTCTGAATCCTCCCCAGCTGTCGGACCTTCATCTGGCCTTGGCAGGTTGGACTTTTTTGGACTTTTGCCTCGGCTGTTTCGACACTTACACGGGATCATTACGCAGACTTATTGCATATCGTCTGAGTGTGGAAACACAAAGGGATAAATCAACTGAATAAATGTCCTTATGAGAGGAGCAGAAACTTCCACCACCACGCCACGTTCACACTTTAATCCAAGACTGGGAACTTTAATCTTTAAAGAACTTTAAAGGAAGTTTTTCCTTGCCTGTGTCGCCTAGTGCTTGCTCATGGTGGGAATTGTTGGGTTTCTGTAATTAACTTCAGAGTAGGGTCTGACCTGCTCTGTTTGGAAAGAGCTGTGAAACAACTGTTGTTGTGATGTGGCGCTATATAAATAAAATTGAATTGAATTTAATTGAATTGAATTTAATCTGGGTCTCCACATGGATAAATGGTTTGTGGGTTGGTGACAGATCAATTTTAACTTTGCTCTGGGACAGAAAAGCAAAAAAGGGACGCATCCAAACAACCAGCTCTCATTCAGAAGCTTTTCTGTCCGTTTGGTGAAACTCCCCTCCCTGCAAACGCCTGGTCAGAAGTTGTGCAACAGCACGCTCTGGGTTTTAACTGGAAAACCCAGTAAAAGCACACAAAAGTGGGGAATGGGAGTGGAAAGAGTCGATACTGGTGGCGCGTTGCCCCACTGCCCTTGTCCTCCTCTGGCTCCCCTCCACAGCCCTGGAAGCGTGTCCAAACCAGCACATGTGTCCCCGACTGAACGGGCCTGTGGCGTGCGTGAGTTTGACACTTGGCACCAACAGGTGTGAGAAAGAGGGAGAGAGGGAGCGGTGGAAAAAGAGGAGCGCTGGAAGGAGGTGAAAGGTCGACATTTTGACCAGTGACCCCCTCGTTTGACGCGGTCCCTGTAACCGTAGACGCAGGACAGGCCAGTAATTCATGTTTCAGATCTGAGAAATCTGCCCGGCTCTGTGTGTCCTTAAAATGAAAATGAAACACGTCGGTAGCGGTGAAAATGTGTTTGAACGTGTGTGTGGGTGTGCCTGATCTCCGGGCAATAAGGTGGAGTGGAGCTACAGGGTGCCAGTTGGGTCATAACTCATGTAAAAATGGATTTTCTCCGGATGCCTGCACACAGGATTCACAGAGTATTTCACTGGCATGCTGACATCTTTGGAAACTCTCCATAAAACATTATGTTCTAGAGATAATCTGTGTCTGAAACATAAACTAATATCTATGGTACACACCCCTACAGCTTGTTTTTAGTGGTTAATATGATCCATCTGAGTTTCTGTTGAGTAGAACTTGTTTATTTGAGTGCACATTAGAGAAAATCAATTCTTCCGTCTGGGTTTCTGTGGAGGCCGCTGACGACAGATGTGCTAATAACTCCGGTTAAAAACCAGCACTGCCTGTTTGGCCGTAAAACAACAGGATTTGACACAAGCAGGAATGAAGACAGCCCGAAGAGGGCTGAGTCCCAGAAGACCCGAAGAGAGAACAGGAGAGCCATAAAAATACAGGAATGTTGATATTTCTTCCAGATTTCTTCTGACCTTTGTGAACAATCTGTGTGAGACGATGTGAATAATCCCTGGGAGTAAACATCTGGACTCTCCCGCCCTTTTCTGACATCATTTGTCCACTTTGGAGCATCCCTGATGTTCTCTGGGTTTAGTAATATAGTGTAGAATAAAGAGTTTATAAGAGCATCATGTGATTTTTTTTTTCCATCCATTAGATAAATGATCTGTAAATTAGAGTTCATTATTTATTCCTGTTAAATGATGATCATCCACTCTGAACTGAACATAACTTGCAGTTTATAGCTGCTCATTAAATGATAGTTAATGCATTTCCTCGTTCATTTAAGATTAGATAAAATACTAAAAAGCTAATAAAATCAACTTTATAAGATATAAATTATCTTGCTGCTCTGCTTTATTCTCCATCTTATTTGAATCTGTATGCGATACACAGAATTTGCTGAGTCCCAAAAATTTCATATCTCTGTGTTACAAGAACGAATTTCACCATGGTCCTCCAGGTCTGGTTACAACTCAGGGAACCACGTGTGGCTTTTCTGGAAAGCCACGCCAAGCTGCCGTTCCTGCCTGATTATGGAAGATATACTCCTCCCCTCTGCTGGTGACCAGCTGGAAGTACAGAATAGTACCTGGTGGTGATAGTAGCGTATCCATTTGGTGGTTACTGCAAATCCCCGATACTGGAGTCATCTAAATCTGATCATAAATACATTACAAATAAGATAAGAATTGACATAAATCCTTTTGGATTTAGTCTGACTTCTATAATAATGTTAAAAAAGATTAATACATTGCTTTAAAAAATACCTAAGTGGGATGAACTCTTAAAATGTTTTGTTTGGAGTTATGTGTGTTTTGCTGACTTAAATGATTGTTTATTTTCAATGCTAATGTTTAAATTACCGTCAATTCAGACTTTAGCATATTTTATTTAAAGGATAAAACTTGATTTTGTTTTTTTATCTGTTCATAACTCTTACGGTGTTTCATGAGGGATTCCTGTGCAGAAACATACGGCTGTACAAGAATAAATTTTAATCTTTGAAACATCAGTGTGCTTCACCATTGTTTGGCCAGGTTTGCTACACTAAGCAACGACTGGATGAGGTAAATACGCAGTTTTGTTGCTTTCAGTAGGTGAAAACATGCTCTTTCACCTCAGTACTGAAGCCAGGATAAGGAGCCGGAACCAGAGTTGATGCTTCCTGATCCAATATCAGCAGTGTCCTAGGAGACGGAGCCGCGGGGGGGCAGTGCATTAAAAGATCAACTGGACACGCCGCGCTTGTGCTTGTCTTTCAGCACGTGTGTGTGGTGGAGTATTGAATTCCCCCAGTGAAACTATGGTGACTGACCCTGAGCCTCAGAGCTCCTCTCCCTCACAGTCATTGTGATTTTTCTCCAAAACATTCCAGTAGTCTGTTCAATTCAAAAGGTTCGAGCACTTCCAGTCAACTTAGATAGGAGTTACATGAGAGAAGTCACCTGAGAAGTCCTGAAATGAGTTGGGTCATTCGTGGATTTAAATCTGAGACAATATTATAGTACAAGTTGAGTTGAGGCCTGATAAGGCTGGTAGTTATCTCCCCCCCCCCCCAATTTTTTGTTTTATTTTGATGCTGTGAAGATGAAGTCTTCCAATGTGGTTAAAAACAGACTGGATAGACTCATATCTACATAGATCCAACAAATATAACCCAATTATGTGTGTGCATAATGTTTAAAGATATGCATGTTATAATGTGAAAAACTGTCTTTACATTTTGTAGTTTTGTTGTAAACTTTCAAGAAAGCACGACAAACTAAAAGACATAAACTCAAGCCGAAAGTACTTTAACCAGTGACATGATTTGATTCTTTGGGCCCCAAATGCAGAAGTGTGTTGTTGTCCAAAACTCACCATAAAACTTTACCCCAACAGAGGAACATATGTTTTGCTCAAAGTAGTATCCTTTTTCACTTTCGACCAACTCTCAAGTGATGTCGAACTAAGACAAAGTGGTCAACAAACTCAGCTGAGACCACAGGGGGGGTTTCCGGTCACGAAACTAACAAATAAAGCTACCGAAAGCCAAAATAAAGCCTAGAATTAAAAAATAAATTTTAAAAAGTTGAGTAAGTAGATTTATAAAAATGCAAAGTCAAAGGCAAAAAACTGTTTAGCTTAAATATGCTATAACTAGGCCACGATACTCAATCGTTCGTGACATTTACTTTGGAGAGGAAACCAGCTTCCGGTTTCTCTCCGCCCCTTTACAAACTACTCGTCTCCATGGTAACCGCGCCAGCGGTCAACTCACATCCCGTTAGTTTTCCTAAAAGGCTGCGGAGGGGGGGGCAGGACGGCGGAAACTCATGGATACACGGAAAATAGACAAATAGGATTTTTTTGTTTTGTTTTGTTTGTCTTGCTGTTTTGGTGTTTTATTGTTTAAACGCATGGCGCCTTCTCATAAAGACCGACAAGGATGTGAAGCGGCGCGAAACACAAAGTGGAGACTGGCGGGTGAGTCCTGTTGGGGATTTATCTATTTTCTCTAAAAATGGTTATAAAGACAAAAAATAAATAACTTTATTCAAGAATTATATCAAAAACCTTTTCACAACCTGGTTTGATGCAGGCTATGTTTGCTATGACTGCATCAGACCTAGTTTTTAATACTTCTGAGGTTATAAAAATGTTAAATGTTTTTCCTAACCCAGTGACAGACCCAAAAACAATAGTCCACCTATCTGGCGCACACAGAATGAGGCTGATTCAGCCTCCGGCCGGCCACTGGGGGCTCTGGGATGTGGGAAAAGCATTGATCTGTTCAGCCATTTGTGTGTGAACGCGTCTGTTTGTGCTGCTTTCAGTGGACCAGGGGGTGGAAAAAGGGGCCCCGGTCTTGAGTTTCTGTGTGCGTCTGAAAACACAATGAAGCCACAAAAAAAAAACGAACCCCCGGGGTGCAAACGGATAACTTCCCCCTGTCTGCTTGGTGCCAGAAAGTGAAACGTCAAAGATGTCTAATGTTTCATTAATCATGCAGGTCCAGCCGAGCCCTAACCAGATCAGGCTGGCCTTTGTTGTGGTGGACGTGTGTGTGTGGGGCTCCTCATGACTTAAGGAAGCCTGAATAATTCAGCCAGTACGGCGAGGTGATTGAGGAATCTCAAATGGCCCCTGCACTCCGTGTGATGGAAAATGCTCCAATCTGATCAGCCGGATTCGTTTTCACAATCACGCGCAGTCACACAGGACGAGGGCCCGGTGTTGAGTTACTCTAGAGCCTTCCTTCAAGTACAAGTCGATATGTTTATGTTATGCTATGTTTATGCATTCAACAGAAACATTTTATCCAAAGCGACTCACAAAGTAGACTCAATTTTACAGTTATCATCTATATGACATCAAGCTCTCTGGAGGAAAACCCCCAATTCAGAGTCAGGAGACAGGAGGAGATGGAGGGAAGCTCAGAAAGAGGAGTACAGGGTCCAGAGGTCTGGGGAGGAGTTAGGATGGGAGATGCTCTGTGGAGGGGGGGGTCTGCTGTTGTTGTAGCACCTGGTAGGTCTTTCCACCATCTTAAAGCTGTTTTCTGGGGCTTTAAACTGTTTTGGGGCTTTTAAAGCGGTTTTTTTGGGGCTTTTACATGTTTTTTTTTGGGCCCTTAAGGCCTCTTTTCTGGGCTTTTACGTGTGTTTTGGGGCTTTAAAGCTGTTTTTTTGGGGGCTTTTAAAGCGGTTTTGGGGGCTTTAAAGCGTTTTTTGGGGGCTTTAAGCTGTTTGAAGGCTTCTATGTTTATATTTATGTTAAGAGATAGAGGGAAGGACACAGAAAGAGGAGTAGAGGGCCCAGAGGTCTGGGGAGGAGTTAGGATAGGAGATGCTCTGTGGAGAGGCGGGTCTGTAGGAGTTTCTGAAGACAGACGGGGACCTGCTGTAGGTCGTTCCTCCATCTTGGAACGACACCTGAAAACAGTCTGATTTTCTTAACGTGGAGCAGCTCTGCTGGACCAGAACCGGCCGATGACCGGAGGGACCAGCTGGGACATCTGAGAGGGTTCAAGTAGACGGGAGCCGGACCCTTAAGCACTCTGTAGGCATCAGGGACCTGGATTTGATGCGGGCAGTCATGGGTAACCAGGGGTAACCAGGGGTAACCGGGGGCAACCAGGGGTAACCGGGGGTAACCAGTGAAGCTCAGTGAACAGAGGGGGGACGTGACTCTTTTTTGGCTGATTGAAGACCAGACGCCGCGTTCTGGATTTCTGATTCTGATTTGAAAGGGTTTTACCGTCCAGGCTGGGAGAGTCAGGAGATGACCACAAACTGACCAGGAGCTGAGCAGCATGTCGGGTTAGGGATGCCCGGATCTTTATTTTGTTTAGTAGCATGAAGCCACAAGATGGAGACATGAAGGTAACATGATTTGTAAAGGTCAGCTGGTCATCAATCATGACGCCCAAGTTTCGTGCTGCCTTTGATGGAGTCAGAGACGGGGATCCAGTCCGGATGGGAACATTATGGTGTACGGTTGGGAAAACAAGCGGTTCAGTTTTTTAGGGATTAGATAGGGGGTTAAATCTTAGCCTGAGCTCTCCTTCTCCTGCCCAGCTCCTCCCGTCCCCGTCTCAAAGCGTCCGGCGGTGGGACCCCGGCCGTGGCCCGTCCACCCACATCCGGCAGAACAAGAACAATCCCTCCGGCCCCCGTTCCCTCTCCCTCCTCCACCCAGCCTCCCCGTCTTCCACACGCGCCACGCGGAGGAGAGCGCCGAGCGGCCTCACCTGGTCACCGTGGTGCGGCCCAGTCAGAGCGAGCTGCGGAAGGTGATCCACAATACTCTGAGAGTGACACTTCTTTTATTCTGAAATCTGCCGTCTTTATGCTTATTTTTAGCTGAAACGGTTGGGTTTTGCTAATCTTTTCGGTAACAAATGTTAAGAGCTATCAAATTAACTCTAGTCCAGATTTGGCTGATTAAACATGGGATAAAAATACAAAATAAAAATGGCTCTTTGGCTATTAACGTTAAAAGCATTAACAATTCATGAAACCATTAGATTGAAATCCTTTCTAGATGGTTCAGTTTTAGAACATGGACTCATTTTTATTCTCTGGTATCTGAAGTTGGATTTGACTTTAAATCAGTTCCGTGTCTGAGCTGTGATCTTTGTGATCTGTGTGTGTTTGAGGTGACGGTGCTGCTGAACCGGAGGGGCGTCGTCTCCTTTGAGCAGCTGCTGTCCGACATCTCGGAGGCGTTGGGGTTCCCTCGATGGCACCGAGCCAGAGTCACGCGCCTGTACACGACACATGCACGCGAGGTGAGGCCCTCCTCTCAGGTTTAGGCTCCTTTTGGGAGGGAAGACACTTTATTTAAGATATCGAAATGTATTTAAGGGTGAACAGTTGGGTCCTAAAACATAGGGATGTGGAAAAATCTCAGAAAAAAAGAAGTGAAATGTAACTTTTTAAACCCGTAAGGAGCCTAGAAAGCGATGAGAAAGTAACCCATCATTTCTGAATAGCTGATGTTTTTGGGTTTTGGGTTTTGGGTTACTAATCCCAACCTTTTTGGACCCAAGGTACATTTTTTCATTGAAAAAATCACGAGGCACACCACCAACCAAAAATGTCAAACAAATCTGTAGCCGCCTACAGTAACACTATAGTTATTCTTATCTTATCTTAAGTGTCTTGAATAGGAATCAAATAAACACAAAAATGCATTTTTATCATATTTTACATTTCTTCTTTCAAACTGCTCTTAACATGTCATCTTCAATATACAAAATTATATACAAAATCTAGTCATAAGGAATTATTACATGATTACTCCACCAGTCATTACTACAGACACTCAAAAATTATTTGCAGATAATTAATTCCTTATCAAAAAATCTTTTTAGACCAATTAGGTGAAATAGGATGATTTTCTACGGCACACCTGACCATCACTCGCGGTGAAAAAACACTGACTTAAAAGACAAGATCTTACTGCCATCTCTGGTTGTGAATTCACTCTAAGAAGTGAAATGTAACTTTTTAGCCCGTATCTGGAGCGCTGTGGTGTGTGAGAGCCCCTCTTTCTCCGTGTTTTCCAGGTTAAGGGCGTGTGCGGCTTCTTCTGTGGGCACGCGGCCTTCCTGGCCCTGGGGAAGGCTCGCCCGGAGCTGGAGGCCGTGCGGGAGGCTCTGGAGGAGCTGTTCCCAGAGCACTCGCACTATCGAGCCAACGCGCTGAGGGCCTGGGAGAAGAAGCTGCGCCCGCCGCCCGACAAAGCCGCCAAGGCCGACAGCGGCTACGGCGAGGAGACGGACGCCGGCGGGCCCCGGAGGGACGCCGTCAGCCACGCGGACGCACCCCCGACTCAAAACGGAGGCTCGCACCAGCAGGACCCGGATCCAGACCCCCAGAAACCACACAGAAAAAGCCCCTGGAGGAAACCGCCGCTTCTCCCCAACAACCTGCAGCGGCTGCACGCCAGGGGCGGAGCCAGAGAGCCAGTTATAGGAGCCCCGAAACTCCGAGACGATGACGCCCCTCCTCCCGTTCTGTGTGAAAGCTGCTTCACTAGAAGAGCCAAACCTGAGGCTCCAGATCTGGTCGGGCCGGGGAGGGCGCCCCTTCCTCCTCTTTCAAATAGGAAGAGAGGAGGTTCTCAAAAAGAGCAGGAGGAGAAAGACCCCGACCCCCCGGTTAGAGGGGAGAAGCCGGGTCTGAGCCCAGAAGAGGCCCCAGACCCCGTCCATCAGAGGGAGGGCAGCGGAGGCCTGTCCCTGTCCGACATCGAGCGCCGGTACGAGATCGGGCGGGTGGTCGGGGACGGGAACTTCGCGGTGGTCCGGGAGTGCCGGCGGCGGGGGGGGCGGCGGCGGGAAAAACCTCGCCATGAAGATCGTGCAGCGCTCCAGGCTGGCGGGGCGGGAGCACATGATGCAGAACGAGCTGAGCCTGCTGGGCAGCCTGAGCCACCCGCGGGTGGTCCGGCTGCTGGAGCACCACCACACCCACACCCACTCATACCTGCTCATGGAGCTGGTCGCCGGGGGCGACCTGTTCGACGCCATCAGCCGGAGCGGGAGGTTCCCGGAGGCCGAGGCCGGGCTCATGGTGTCCGACGTGAGCGAGGCGCTGAGCTACATCCACGGCCGCAGCATCGTGCACCGGGACCTGAAACCAGAGAACCTGCTGGTGGGTGTCAGGGTGGGGGGGCCAATATACAGATATAATGCCACAAAACCAGTCAGCATGATCAGTAACAGTCAATCTAAACCTCCAAAAAGAGCCTAAAACGACTTTTTAATTCATTTTTGTGGTGATATATCAATCTAAACCTCCAAAAAGAGCCTAAACGGACTTATTCATTCAGTTTTGTGGTGATATATCAGTAAAAGTCTAAACCTCCAAAAAGAGCCTAAAAGGACTTATTAATTCAGTGTTGTGGTGATATATCAGTAACAGTCAATCTAAATCTCCAAAAAGAGCCTAAAAGGACTTATTAATTCATTTTTATTGTGATATATCACTAACAGTCAATCTAAACCTCCAAATAGAGCCTAAAATGACTTATCAATTCATTTTTGTGGTGATATATCACTAAAAGTCAATCTAAACCTCCAAAAAGAACCTAAAAGGACTTATTAATTCATTTTTGTGGTGATATATCAGTAACAGTCAATCTAAACCTCCAAAAATAACCTAAAATGACTTATTAATTCATTTTTGTCGTGATATATCAGTAACAGTCAATCTAAACCTCCAAAAAGAGCCTAAAAGGACTTATTAATTCATTTTTGCAGTAATATATCAGTAACAGTAAATCTAAACCTTCAAAAAGAAACTAAAAGGCCTTATTGATTCATTTTTGTGGCGATATCCTGGTGATTTATAATTCTGTTTGAGTCAACAACAGTTTTCCTCTGATCAAAGTAGAATTAGCCTCGTTATTTATTCAGACTTGTAAACCTAGTCTCGCAAACCAAATGCAAGTTGTGCATTTAAAGAGGAAAATGCTGCTTACAAACAACTAAATGTAGCAAAAAAGATTAATCTTCTTTCATCCGTAAGGGGTCCAAAGCTGTAACTGGTGCTTTACAGACTAATTAGAGGAAGAATGAGAGAAAGAAACAAACAAAAACACATCAAAACAGTGAGTCTAATTTGACTCTCAGCAGCTCTCAGGAGTTTTCCAGAATAATAAGGATCAAAAGACAGTTGTGCCACTAGTAGAGTTTATGAAAATCAATAGTTTTTGATGAATGTTTTTTTTGTATTATTTGCTGTTTTTTTTAAACTGTCAGACTACTTGTGTGGCATTATTTGGAAGAGGCATTAGATAAGCTAAAAAAGATAAACTAAAAAAATAAATAATCTGAAAGGCCCTCTCTGAATCTGAGTGGAACAAACAAACAATTATAGTTAATTCTTCACAGACTGTTGTCCACTCATTCAAACATGTACATCACAACAACATTTTCTTTTAATAATCGGGGTTAATAGTTTGAAGGATAAAAAACTCTGTGAAAGCATGACAAAGTTTTTTCTTTCTGTCTGTATCTGAACTACCTAAAGGGCCAGTTTATTCTTAATAAGCATGTTTTTAATAAGCCTGACTTCCTCCTGCTGCCTCAGATAGAGCCGGCTGCTGGTGGGATCCTGCGGCTGAAGTTGGGAGACTTCGGGCTGGCGATGGTCGTGACAGAACCGGTGTTCACTATATGTGGGACGCCCACCTATGTGGCCCCAGAGATCCTGTGTGAGACAGGTGAGGTGTGGCTCACGCATCCACTTACAGCCAGGTTTTCTCCCTCTGAAAAGCTGTGTTCTGGGTTTACCCCCCAGGTTATGGCGTGGCTGTGGATGTTTGGGCTCTGGGTGTGATTCTTTATATCCTGCTGTGTGGATTTCCCCCATTTCGCAGCAGGGACCGGGACCAGGAAGAGCTCTTCAAGCTAATAAAACAAGCACAACTTCACTTTCCGTCCCCTTACTGGGACTCCATCTCAGAGGGTGAGAAACACCGGGATATACATTATAATAGACACACAATTTAAAGAATAAATAGATGTGTATTTTCAATCTGCTTACCTGTAGAGGCCAGAGACCTCGTCACATGCCTGCTGCAGCCCGACCCCTCACTGAGGATCACAGCGGAGAAGACCCTGCTGCATCAGTGGGTGAAAGCCATGGCCTCAGTCTGCCAACAGGGGGCGCTCACAGACAGACGTCAGAAAGAGAAGGCAGGAGCTTCAGCAGAGAAAGGCCGAAGAACAGCTCCTGAAAATGGCTCGTTCCCAGTGGGAGCCCCCCCGGGCCCCCACAGACCTGGACCCGGACCCACTGGGTTACACATGGACCCCAAAAACTGTGACTCCCCAGAGACTCAGACAAGCCTCCGTCCCAGATTAAACCGCCATTAGAGTCCGGAGCTCCTTTAGTGGAGGCCAGCAGCCCAGTCCAGAAACACGGCCCCCCACACAGGCCCGACCTCTCTGAGAAACCTCCCGTTTGATGTGTGGTCAGATCAGGGGCTTCGGTTCATCGTTCTGGACAATACTGCTGATTCCTTAGCCTCTGGAGCCTCGAACGGCCGGCAGAAGATGTGATTTACTCTCTTTTTTTAAGTGAATAGAGTCTGATTGATGAGGCTTGATACATCTCATTAATGTGCATAATCCATTTGTCCAATAATCAGAAGATGAATCATGAATATTTGTGTTATGTGTACGTCCATTAAAGCAGAAGTAGTGAAGCATTGAGGTTTTTTTTTTTTAAAGTTGAGTGGATCCCTGTGTACTTTTTTTACATGCAAGTATTTTTTGATTAACCCTACAATTCGATATGTATCATATTTGATACATACGGTTTCTGAAATATTTGCATCCGAGACCTTTTTCGTCATTTAACGGTATAAACTTTGCTGTAAACCCTGTTGTACACAATTATATATACCTGATAACAGCGGGCAGAAGAATGCACAACAATGATTTTGACTTACGGGACGGTAATAGATTATGAATATTTGAAGAAATCTTGTTTATTTTTTCATGTTTTGTTAAGGGCCAAATAAAGACTTCAAACAAAAAATAATTCTCTATTTTTCTTGGATCCGGCTTTAAAGGGTTAAGAATCTTACATATACATTCAAGGCCTGTCAGAATAAACAGTTTCTGTCACAGTTATGGCTCCAATTATCTCCATAAACAATGAGTTAATCTAAACCCAGATCAATTACTGAAAACCACCCATGATTTTATCATCTACATCTGATTGATCTCCTGGGCTCAGGCGGCCTGTCCCCAGATCCTCGGACTAACACTGACATTAAACAACAGGGCGACCACATGCTGCTGCTGGGTAAACCGTGTGTGCATATCTGAGAGTGGCATCTCCCCCTCGCCATTCCACAGAGACTAAATTAGGCGTATCCTCCCGTCCAATGAGAGCCGTTAGTGCTCCGACTCCCTGCAGACAGCTGACACTGACATCCGGCCCCACCCGCCCCAAACCCTGCACAACCCCCACCGCCTTTGTAGCTGCTAAGCCACATATCTGGGGCACCGATGGGATGACAAAGCTCCCAAATGCTTAGGACAAACTATCAGTTGTACGAGCCAAGGGGTAATTAAAGCCTTCCTCGAACACCCTGTTTTTCTGGATGAATTATCAATGCATTCTTAACACAAACAGACTTCTTTACAACCAGCTGAACCTCTTTTCTAATGTGTGGCAACAGGCGCAGAAACGAGTGACAAGGCTGGTGAAAAGTTTGACATGTCAGGCATCACAAGCAGTGGTATAACTTAACAATAATAATAATAATAAAGATATTTTTATCAGCTACTGTAATCATACTCCATTATCTGGAGGTTTTTTAACAGAGAAATTGTGAATTATTTTTAGTCTTGTCAACAAATGCCAAAGTATTCAGTCTTTTCAGATGCGAAACCTGTATGGTAACAATACATACATGTACATTTGTTGCAGTAGGGGGGAGAAAATCAATTTGCTGAGAAATAAGGTGAAATCAGTTGAAATTTCCTTTAAGAAAAGGGTTGCAGAGTGGCGTTTTCATTGAAATATTACGTCCCGGTCTAGCCTGAACTAAAATAGCCGATTAAATAAACTTAGTCAAATTCCACCACTAAGAAATATGCCTCATTTGGCGGAGTAGCCTAAATTTGTCGCATATCAGGTTTTGGTCAGCTCGTGCTGCCATGTACGGACTCACGGGTGCTCAGTGCGCATGCGCGCTTCAAACTCTTTAAATACCCTAAGTCATCTGCCACAACAAAACATTCCGCTGACAGCCAGTTCACGGCTGCCCTCAAGTAGTTAGAGGTGCGTGGAGGCCCCCCAAACCCCGGACAAATATTGACTTTTAAACAACCTACCGAAACCACAGACCACAATCTACAACCTTTGTGAGGAATCCCGAAATTTTAGCCACAGTTGTTAAAAAACTGTGCGGGTTTGAAGTCGTGGGATACGGACACGAAAAAAAAAACAACAAAAAAAAACAAAAAAAACAAAGATGGCTGTGTAGCCAGAGAGACAAGTCCCAACAGAGCTGTCTCTAGCTTTAATCACCGGTTCCTCCCGCGGGTCCCGTGGACAGTCACCCGGTACCGGAGCTGGTCGGGAGCAGGCCCATCCGTGCAGGTCGTTGTCAGAGTAACGGCTTCGAGAGGGCACCAACAGCTGAGGGAGCCCGAGTTGTTTTTGTTCTGCCCGGGCTCAGGGAGAGAGGACCGCTGTGTTTGTGTCAACGTAGCTAGCCGCGTAGTCTGCTAGCTTAACTGTAAGTCAACCCCAACAAGTCCGCGTTTTTTAGCTGCCCGATAGCCGTTAGTTAGTTTTTTTTTTCTTTTTCTCATGTTGTCGTTATTACAGAACGGTTGGCTTGTGAAAATTCCCGGATGTATATGTGGGGCTGCGTTAGCTAGTTTGCCCGCATTCCTTCCTGACAGCCCGTTAGCTTAGCTCCGGCTAGCTAGCTGTCAGCTGACCGTTAGCTCGACAGGTTGCACGCTAGCCCCGAGCTAACGTGCTAACACCTCGGACTCGGAGACAGGTCGAAGCGGGCGCGCGTTAGACATTTTCTAGACGGCCACCGCCATGTCCTCCCTGGAAGAGAGAGACGTGGGCGTTGCGGCCGCCCCTGGCTCCTCCTCGGCCGGCCTGGGGGTCGGGGCCGTGGGGGCAGCGGTGGAGGCAGTGGCCGGGGTCGCGGCCATGCAGGAGGATGTGGGGATACGGCGAGAGGGGCCTGAGGCTGACCCAGACGAGCCACCCAAGAAGAGGGTGAAAATACCCGAGGGAGAGTCAGGAAAACTGGAGGAGAGACTGTACTCAGTGCTGTGCTGCACCGTGTGCCTAGACTTGCCCAAGGCGTCTGTTTACCAGGTAAATGTGGTGTCAATCACAAGCCCCCCCTTTCCACATCATCCTTTAAATTACAGTCACACATCAGCAAAGCAGTTCAATCTCATAATAGACACCCCCACTACGCCCTGGACCCCAGACCCAGCAGCCAACCTGTTGAATGTGTTGGCCAGCTCCATTTATTTTTAGTGAAACCAGATCCAACACAACCTGGAAGAGCCTTTAAAAAGCTAATTGGTTCCACAAGACAGGGCTGAGAAGCCCCATGCAACCAGGTCATGTGGTCAGCTGAATTATCAGGCTGCAAAATTACATCCCCAGACCCCACAAAAAGGGCTAACCTAAAAGTGAAAACCCTTCCCCTTACTTTCCGCCCACCCTACCTTCCCTCTTAGTGACCTCAAACAGAGTCAATGTCATTTGACCACATTTGAAGTCGCCATGAACACGCCCTGCTGACCAGTACAGCAAACACTCCCAGAGTCAGTCAAACATGAAACATTAACACAGGTCCACACCCTGTTTAATTTGATTTAAATACACATGTTTTTCACTTGTTAGGCCGTCCTGCAGAAGACGATCATATAGGAAGTCAGCATTTCCGAATCCTCCCTGTTTACAGCTACTCTTCTTGTAGCTTTAGACTATTTTAAGATCCTAGTAATAATATATTCTGCTGTTTAAAGGATCTTGTCCCCACTTGGCCAAATCTGGTCAGTGTTCCGTTTTCTAAATCACAAACCAAATATCATAGAAAAGTCAGGAAAGGGCATTTTCCAAATACATAAAGCTGTCATTTATAATGTTTAAGCACAAGATGTGATATGATTGTTTTTACCTTCCAAGCCCCCTTTAAGACTTTTTGCAAAAAAGAAGAAAAAAAACTGACAATGACAGTCAGTAATTTACATTTAAACCATATTTATATGATGTTTTGTGTATCTTCATAGGCTGAGAAATAAAGGTTTTAGTTGACATATTAATCTTTTAGACATCATCCTGTTTTAAAGGCTATTTTTTAACCACCTTATAAATTATTATGGGCTGGCAGAAGTGGTTGTCAATGTCTTCAGGGATGATTCTGTGTTTATTCAATAGAATATTTCAGATGCTTTGCAGGCTGTGATTTAGTTTGACTCCCTCTATGATGCTTTAAGCACACACTGTTTTTATGAAGCCGCATGACATTATCATGCTGAAATAACCACAGATATTCAGAGAGAAAGACTTTATTATTTCTCTGGAAGGCCGATACAGATCTTCCTCTGCATATAATTCGGTTTCAGATTAAAGCTTTTTAGAGCTTTTTAGAGAAGTTTTAGAGAAGTTTAGAGCATATGTGGCCAAATTGGTGTGTTGGTGACATCTTTATTCTCTATTTGTTTGAGAATAGAGAACCTTTATCTGACCTTTATCCAGTTAAAATTAGTGAACAGGTTTAAGTTTTTTTTTTTTAGCAAACCTCCCAGCTTCTCAGGACGAGTGGTTTGTTTGTATTTTATTCTGTATGAATAGCAGCAGAACTCATTTAATGGCCTCTGTTCTGTCATTCAGACAGAATTATTTTTAAATACTGCTATAAACAGTATTGTTAATGTTTAATTTAGTTAATATCATTGAGAATTATTTAATTTACATTCAATTTATCATAAGAGGAACTAACATTTAGCTGCATTACCAAACTTTTACAATGTTCTCTGCTGCTCTAGTTTTCCTCAGCGATGTTTCACTCTGCTTCACCCAAATTCTTATTTATTCATTTTTTATTTTTGCTCCAGTGTACTAATGGACACCTGATGTGTGCTGGCTGTTTTATTCACCTTCTGGCTGATTCCCGGCTGAAGGAGGAGCAGGCCACCTGTCCCAACTGCAGGTACACCTGGTTGGATCCCAGCTGTGAAGCTGCCCTCACAGTTTGGCTTGGATAGTTTAAAACTCATCCTGAGATATTTTAGCGGGTTTTCACAAATCGGTGTGAGAATATACGTACATACCAAAGGCAAGTCACCACACGGGCTCTCTGTGTTTACGCAGATGTGAGATCAGCAAGAACCTGTGCTGCAGGAACCTCGCGGTGGAGAAGGCCGTCAGCGAGCTGCCGACCGAATGCACGTTCTGCCTCAAACAGTTTCCCCGCTCCAGCCTGGAGAGACACCAGAAGGAGGAGTGCCAAGACAGGTTTACCGTAAACACTAAAACGCACTGAGACGCAGCACCGTGTGCTCGGAAACCGGCCCGATTCGGGTTTAAAATAAAACATTTAACCCTATAATGCCAAATGTATCATATTTGAAACATACGGTTTCTGAAGTCTTTTGGATCTGAGACTTTTTGCATCATTCAGTGGTAAAAGCTTTGCTCAAACCCCTGTTGTACACATTCAGATATACCTGATAACAGCCAGTAGAAGACTACACAAAAACAAATTTTTGACTTATTGCACGCTAATTTGATCAAAATAATTTCTGTTTTTTTTTTCTTCATATGTTGTTGAGGGGCCAAAGAAAAAAAATAATTCCAATATTCTTCCAATTTTTCTTGGATCAGGCTTTAAAAGGTTAGAATAAAAACATCAAGCTAGCGGCTACAAACTAAAGCGACTGAGTCCAGTCTCTCTCTCTACTAGACTTTAGAGGAGCGCACACACAGTCTTACATGGGATTTCTGTGTCTTATTTGTGTGAATGTGGCAAACCTGCACAGTATCACAGAGTTAAATGGCGCAAAATGATGGAGGCGTTGCTATGACAGCATTTTGTGAGGTCAGGCGGAAAAATGTAGACGGCTCCCTGAGAGGAGGGGATGTCGCCGTCTGTCCTCTATTTGGAGATTCAAAGGCAAGCTCTGCATTTGATGTGCTGTAATTAAAACTAGTAATTACAGATATTTCTGTCATACGTGCTGTTTAAATGTATAAGACTGCGTCTTTGAATCATTCCAGCATAAAAAAACATCTGAGTGTGACATCACATAACTACCGACTTATCAGAGGAACAGTTTTAAATTGCATCTGTTGGCACTTTGTTTGTTGCCACCAACTGAAAAAAAAACTTTGGAAATGGTCTCCATGGAACAGAGGCTGTTAAGAAGGCTTTGTTAGGGAAGAAAAAACACAAGAAAAAGGCTGAATTATGCCAAATTACACAAGAAAGAGACTAAAAATCAGTGGCAACAGGTCTGAGGATGTCAAGATTATTGAAGCAGACATACAAATATATGAACAATTTAAATGTGGTCTTACTAAACGCTGACTTTTAAGCTTGTTAGAGTTGTATAAATTAACTTTTATAATCATACATGATGTATTTCTGTTTAGGGTTTCACATTTCATTAAATCACTGCACCTTGTAGCCGTTTTCATGGAAATGTGTAAAGAAATGAGGGTGGCTTTTAGTACTTTAAGCACGGCTTTAATTAGCCGTGCTTCAGAGGCTGTGTAGCACCTTTCATATTATTAGCACATCATTTCATCCCAAAGTAACAAGTCCTCATTAAAAAGCACCTCCATCCAGGATGTAATTGATACGAAACTCTGCCTTTTTTCCTGGGGGTCGGCCCTCACTGAGCTCTTATCTCAGCACAGTGCTCGTTTGTTGCAGTTCACATCACGGATTAATTGGTGCCTTTGATATTAATACCGTCTACTCTCTCAGCAAGTATCTCATATTCATCACAAAGCACCTCTGTAAAGGCTCCAATTTACACGGGGCCACGGCTCCGCTCCCTTTGTCTTTAGCTCCCTCCCGTCGTTGTGTTGCCAGGGTGACGCAGTGCAAGTACAAGCGGATCGGCTGCCCCTGGCAGGGCCCCTTCCACGAGCTGCCCGCGCACGAGAGCGAGTGCTGCCACCCGACCAAAACGGGCACGGAGCTGATGGGCATCCTGGGGGAGATGGACCAGGGCCACCGCCGCGACACGCAGCTCTACAACAGCATCTTCAGCCTGCTCTGCTACGAGAAGATCGGCTTCACAGGTAAACCGGGAGGCCGAGGGTAGGGCTGTCAAAAGTATTGATACTCCAGAAAGTATTGATACTAAAAGGTTGTAACCTGCCAACGTTGCGCCCCTTCTCTCTGATTTATTTATTTATTTACATTGACGCTCTGGAACATTGACACAGATCGGCCCTCATTTTAGTTCTCGGCTTGCCTGATCTAACCATGTGGTGGAAGCTACTGAGGAAGAAGAATGCACACGTGTGACTTTCGTATGCAACAGAAAGTTTAAAAAACCTCTCAAAAAGCAGCAGAGGGACTCACAGAACTCTTTAAATTGAAGACTCTTATCCCAGAATCCCCTGCTGCTTACACTGGAGCAGCCATGAAAGTACTTTTGCGATTTGTCTTCTAGACTGTAGGGTGGTCAAAAGTATCGATACTAAAACATTGTATCTGGATACCATACTCATAAGTATTGATAGCCCCCGCGCCCCTTCTCTCAGATTAATTTATTTACGTTGTTTGAGATCATTAACATGACGTTAGCTTTGAATTGGTAGCTGCGGCTAGTGGCTAATAATAACACGCCAACATTAATCAAGTCCGTCTGGCTGCAGGAAGCCAAGGATGGATATCCGAGTCCGCCCACATCCAAGTCGGCCATTTTGATTTGATTACCAGGCAAGAAAATCCTAATTGCCTCATGGCAATATAGACATTCATTTAAAAATGGTGAAATTCATCCGGCAAACACTGAATTGAACTCTATACATAATATTGTATGT